AAGAAATATATATATATATATATATATATATATATATATATATATATATATATATATATATATATATATATATATATATATATATATATATATAATGGATAAATTATTAAAAAAATCTCTCTTTTTGGACCTTTTCTATGAAGAAGGTGCTCTTATTCTCAATTTTTTCAAATGATATTCTTGATATTTATATTCTCATAAATGTCTTTTGTAATTATCGACTACTTATTGTGAGGCCTCGTTACCTTTTGTCATGTTGGTCGCTCGATCATCCTCATGTATCGTGATCATCGACCTTGGTGCTTTTCACCCATTACCCTTTGCCATTCTTTCTTCATCGCTTTTGACCATCATTTTCATTATGCCAGGTTTTCAAATTAATATACAAGATTAAAACTTATTTGAAAAAAAATTTATAAGATTTTCAATGTATGATTTATATTGTTCCAAACAAAGGATAATAATAACAAAAATTAAGTAAACCTAGAAAAATATGTAAATCTAATTATAAGATTTTCAAATTAGTATACAGGACCAAATCCCCTATACCAAATGGAAAAGAAAAAGACAAAAATTGTAATTACAAATTTCCGACCTGCCGGATTCGAACCAGCGACCTAAGGATTTATCTGAACGACTACAGTACTCCGCTCTGCCAACTGAGCTAAGGTCGGTGGTGCATTTAAGATGATCATTAATATATATTAGATTGAACTTTCCACCCACGGTTAAACTTACACGAATGTTTGAGCCCGAACTAAACCGAATTAATTTTCCGGTTCGGTTCGATTTAAGTAAGGTAGCTCGAATCTGAATCGATTCAGACCAGAGGTGCGGCTCGACGATCAGAGGAAGAGACTGTGCCTATCTTCGGCGCGAGAACTGCGGGTCGGCGGGCGAGCTTGCGATGCGATCGGAAGAAACAATTGATGCGGGTTTCAAACATGGAGGCCTCGACGGCGATAAAAGGTTCCACAGCCGTGAGATGTAGGCCTTCGGACCTTTATTGGATTGGTTCATTACAGTATTTGGGCTCTTTCTGAAACCCATTGATGCCCCAATCGTTCCCAGTAATTGAGAAATCCGTCATCGTTTGTCGTCCGCTTCATCTCTCAACCTCCGGCGATGATAGAGCCGGAGAACATGAGCATTGCCAATGTCGTCGATGGGGATGACGTGGAAGAACCTGTGGCGGAGCCTCGAGGTTGACGCTGGCGGTGTCACAATGGACGGCGGGCTGGGGCATGTTCTCAGGGCTGCGGACGGTGATCAAGGTCATAACCTGGTTTCGCAGTGGAAGTTTGGATCTCGACCCTTGCCAGGTAAACCTTCATCACTGCTCTTCTTTTGATGATTTCTTTCGTGCAATCTGACTTAGAATTTGCCTTCTTTTCTTGTGAATTTGGTCACTGTTTCTTTGAGAGAATATCTTGTGGAAAGCTTTAGTTTGTTAAAAGGACAAAGAATGATCCATATGGCAGTGAAAGATAAGCGGAAACTGTTAGGAAGAATACGGATACCTTTTGATCTATCGAAAAAAAGAAGAGAAAAACGATTACTTTTTCCCCGAAATATATGACTTGTATCTGTCTTCATGTGTCAGAAGAACTTTGATGTATCAACTCAATTATGATCGAACGTTTCAGAATCACAACTACTGATAATTGCCACAACTACTAATAATTGTCAGTATATTGCTTGCATTATATCATTTGTTTTTAAGTGGGAAACTAGCTGGCTTTATTTGATAGCATATGAACTCGTTAGGCTCCGCAGCAGAGTGCCATCCTGGAAATAGACAGTTTGGTATCAGGATTAGGAGTATACCATGTTAGCTGAAGCCTCAAGGACCGGAGGAAGAATAATGGACACCTCACTCTTTACAGCAGTGATTGTTCAACAAATTAATCATAGAGTAATGCATTTGCTTTTGGGGGTTATGAGGAAATTTGAATCTGCATCTTCTGTCTATTTAGAGGTCAGTTGGATGTCGAGTGTGTTTCTCAGAGCTGACAAGGGTTCCAAGAGTTACATATTGGTCCATTCTTGATTGTTGTTATTGGATATTGGCATTGGAGAAAAGATCGTAATTGACATTTGATTATTACTGCAAATAATCCTTTGTGATTGTGAGAATGAAAAGGAAAAAGATACATCAGTTTCTTGGACTTGGCATTGCTACCTGGTCAAAATAGCCTGCTAATGAAGTTAAAAACAAAGTAGTGCTGAAGTATGACTTACCTATTATAGTAAGAACAATGGGCAAGTAAAATTTCTTCCAGAGCAAACAACTAGAAAGTGCAAATCATTTTGGACCAAATTAGGAAGGCTATATAAGAGGGTTTTACTAACAAGAAATATAGACTGGTTTTTCTAAGGCTTTCTTTTGGCTGGAGTTTCTTGTTACTTGACAGAATCACAACCTGGATGCATTTAACATGCTAAACATTCACATGGTGTGTCACATTCATAAAAACATAGGAAACAGATGGTTCTAACTAAGTGCAAAACTAGGCAGTCTGTGATTTGAGGTTTGGATAAAAGATCCAGTAAATCCCCACAATGCACTTTTTATGTCTTTCTTTTACTAACTCTCAAAAATGACAAGATGTTGTTCACTTGCATGGGCTTCTTCTTTTGATAGACACCTCCCAGCATATATAAATCCTGCAGAGAATTCATAGTTCATTATGTAATTAGATAGCTCTGCTAAAGTAATACCAGTTATAGTTTATGAATCAAAAGAGTATTATCATTGAGATGAGAAGCCACTGAAATACTGAAAGTGGCTTCAGGAGTACCTCAGGCTTGAATTTAAGTGAAGGATTTCTTGTTCTCGAGAGTACAGATGGGCCTTTGACAACTGGGGCTGCCTTAGCAAGCTCTACTCCTGTTAGGAGTCAAATACAGTAATGTCGCACACAGGGAGAAAATTATCTTCAGTGACCCAGAAAATTCTAGGTTAACCAGGCACATTAGCAATCTGATGTTAAGCTAGAGACTAGATTTAATTCTGTGTATAGAAATAGAGGTTCATCCAGGTGATTCAATTGCTTTCAACAAGTTAATCAAGCATTTCCTAAAGATTATAATGTGGAAGCTAGTATGCTTAGCATTTCAGTAGAATATCCATACCCAAAATGGTTTGGTTGCTTGCTGGAAAGAAGTGGTCAGTAGCACCGGACTCAAGCGAATGAGCCATCGCAGCCATATGATCTTTCTTGGTAGGAGTCTCGGATCCACCAGGCCTGTATGTCTATCTTGAATTAGATTCTTTGCATGACAAATTCTGTTTGAATTATACTATGCATTTCAATACTCATCAAATGAACCGTGAACCTAAACTTGAATGTCACAAAGAATAAGAACATATGAAGATGGACATAATGAATCAAGAGCAAACCAGCTGGAGGAAAAAAAAGAAATCAAACCTGGAGAGATCACTCGACTTTTCAATATGCTGAGTCACTGTTTCAGTGGAAATCATCAATAGATTAAATAGCATGTGGTAAATCAAAGAACAAAAGTTGGTCATTTTATTAGTAAGGGTAAAGAAAACTTTTATTGAGCTAAAAAATGTTATGCATTATGATATTATAACAACATTCTTTTTTACCTTTCTGGTGGATAGGAAATCAATTGAATAATCTGCCTGAAAAGTAGGAATAAAAGACAGTACCTGCTGAAACATAATGCTCATGATGTCGAGGGAACTTCAGGCTCAGTTGCATGCTAGACAGCTCGAGACTTATAGCATATTGCTGACAAGTGAGAAGCCTCTGGTGCCATGTTGCCCATTAGATTGTGTTTTCTCAAAGACATAAGCATACGACAGACACTGAAATAGCAACGATAGAAAAGAAAAAAAAGAAGAAGCAAAAATTGCATGCTTAATAAAATTCCCACACCATTGTGAAGTGTGGGCTCTCTGTTTTAGAGTGTGTTCTTAGCCAATCGATTCTTTATTGTGCTAACCTGCTTTATGACCTTACAGATAGTACCTTAAACAAGTACCAAGCAAAAATGAGAAAGATCGTCGCAACATCAATGGCTGCATCACTTGAGGTTAGTTCAACCGGGGAAAGTATGACTAACCCCGATTAGCTCCCACAGGCGCCATCAATGAATAGATAGATCAACTAGCACCTTTTAAGCTAGAGCACAGAGCAACTATGTAATGTTGTTTTGTTTGTTTTCTTAGGGGAACAAGCTGACCTGCTTCAAGCAATCAATCCTTTGCTCTGTCAGCACAACCGCAGTATTGGCAAGGAGACTCTGCTCGAGCTTGGAGGAAACATTTCCCAAATGGTCCACGACTGCTACAATTGCTTCACATATATAGCTCTTTGTTCCCTCCAAGATCCTACTCGTCACCGGAGAACATCATCTTAGTGTCATGGTCGTGCCATGGTACAATTCAACCTTTCCCGTATGGTTAAGAAGCTTTCTTTTTCGGAGACTTAAAGAAAGGAAGAGAAGGAAACAACTCACATTTTCTTCTGCTCGGCCTTTGAAAATGCAGTCTCGCAGTAATCTGCAGCATGGTAGAGCTGAGAGCGGAGGTCCTTCAGTTCCTACGAGGAGTCAGCCATGCAAAAAGAAACTCACCTTAGTTGCAACGCCGTGACACAGAAGAAGATAAGAAAGCTTCACTTGGAACAAGGGAGCAAAGGTTCAAAACCAGTAGAGCATTGTGAAACCGATCTTCCTCGCCTTCATCCTCTCCGTATTGTTTGGATGGGGTTTTGGTCAATGGCACCGTGGAAATGGCTGCTGTTGAGTCCCTGGTGTCTTTGCCTTTCCCCATGACTCTGCAACAAGAAGAAAGCAAGAAGAGCGAGAAACCGAGCGCAAGGATGGAGTACTTGGGGGAGAGAGGAGATGATGCAGGAGGGGAAGAAGCTGACAACAAGTGTTCTGAGCCCCGTGATCACTTCCCTTCAAATCTATTTTCTGTGAAGCCAGAGGACAAACAAGCTTTTCTTGGGTTCGCAGAAACATGACACCGCGGCTCGCAAAGGATCACAGGGGTGCAGTAACAGCAACATATAATGGAAGTCGCATATCACACTTAGATTTATGTCCATTTCTTTTCCTTGGCTGCTCTTTACATTGCAATGCCAATTTCATATTTGGATCAGATTTAAAAGGGTTGATAATATGAGGTACTAAATTCTGGTGCTGACAGCCATTGCAAAGTCCTACTCACATGGCTTCCTGTAGGCAAAATCTCCTGATGATACTGCAGGCCTCAATTATATCCAAATGGCATCAGAGTGTCTTTTGGGTCCTCCACCAAGCCAGCCAGTCAAATTAGCATCTTCCTTAGCCATGTTCTGTCGCTCATGGGAATAATTTCTATTAGTATTTATATATTATATATTTACGAATTAATGATAAATTATCTTACATAATTAATTATTATTAATATCTCAATTTTTACACTTTCAAGAGTTAGGATCTCTATACTTAAAAAATATATATTTTTTTTTTACGTTATTAATTTTGTAGACGAAAATATTGCATGTGCTCAATGATAAAGAGATAGAGTTAGTACATGTTACAGTTGTAAATCCTATAATATTTTTGTCAACAAAATCGATGATGCAAAGAGAAACAAGAATAAATGTTTTACATTTATAAATATAGGAATCCCAATATAATTTTTATAAATATAGATATTAAAATATTAAAAATAATTAATTACATGAGATAATTTATAATTAAAATTTATATTTATTAAAAATTAACTTTTTAATAAAATATTCATCAACATGTGGTACTAATTTTGGCGCCCTATGTCAAATCCCAATATCCATTTTATTCCATAAAGAAAAACATTCAATTTAGAAGTAATTTATGTTTTTGGGGAAAAAAAGATTATTTATCAGAAGTGTCATAAAAAAATCTTTGGTAAAGAAAAGAAGAAAATTCCACGGCTTGTTAGGAAAAAAAAATTTATTTTTCTTTTTTAATAAATAAGTTGATATTTTCTTAGCGAGATGAAATAGGGACCAAATCTTGTTCTTACTTCTGTTATGTGCAAAAATGAGAGTAATTTTTGAGGCAAAAGGAGTTGATTTGACATATAAGATTAGGAGGTAAAATAATGGATAAAAGGAAAACGGAGAGGAATGAGAACTGTCCCTAAATGTTAATGACTCCGATGTGACGGCGCAATCTGCAATGTGTAGGATAAAAGGTCTGCTCGCCATAAAGGACCGCACGAAAAATTGTGGCCTGCGCTGCCCTCAGACCGCATCCCGATCTCCACGACGAGGTACGGATCGAAGCTGTCGCCTAGTCAAATCTTTGCCATCTCTAACTTCATTTTGGTTTCGTTTTCCCCCTTCTTCTTCTTCATCTTCTTCTTCTTCTTCTTCTTCTTTAGATTTGTGGGTTACCCAACATGAATACCTGTGAGAAATGATCGATCCTTTCTTTTCTCAGATTCTCTCTGGTAGAAAGTAATGGCCTTTGCCTCTGCCGTCACGCCGCCATCTCTGTTTCTGGTTCCAAGCAAACCCATCGTCACGAACCCTAGAAAGTTTCCAGTGCCTGCTGTAACGGGTAATTCCACGCTTTATGGATTGGTTTCCTTTTGTGTAATTTTCTTTTGGTGCACAAAATGTGATCTTGTTCACTCTCTTGATGATGTGGTTTTGTTATATGAGCAAGTAGCAACAATTTTTATTTTTTGTCATAATAATTTAATCTCCCTTTTTGGAGTAATCGTCAAATAAGTTCATTGAATCTGCATCTTCCAATTCTATGAACGAGGGAGATTCTACAAACTGATTTTGGATTATCTTCCAACTAGGCGGGCGAAGATGTCTGTCGGTTGTCGTGAAGGCCATTGGAGATAGCTCCGATACTTCCTCTGATGCTAGCATTGTGAAAGATGTCCAGAATGCTGTGAGTTGTACTCATTTGAGTATCTCATTCGATGATTAATTTATAGCATGATTCTTCTTCAGCTTCTTGTTTCAGAGCAAGCACGTTAAACATAAATGAAGACCTAATATAATTAGGACTGGCTATAGGATCTTTGTGCAGGCCTTTCTTTTTTAATTTGAGTGTGCGCTTGTGTGAATTCAGCAGAGCCTAAATCAATAACTGAGCAGAAATGGGTGAAATTCTAATAATCTGGCTTGCGGGGTGGAGGATTAGAATTTGATTAAATCTCCACTCCATAAGGCAAAAATATAGCTCTCATTGCATTGGTCACATAATCAACAGCAGAAGAATTCTCAATATGTCAATCATCTGTCTCCAAGATATTCTTGAACATGATGGAGATGGTGCATCAAGCAACCACCTGAAATAATTCGGGACAATCGTTTCCTCCATCGGCCAATTTTGGAGGAGTTTATACATATCCTGGACCTGCATTGTGACCGTCCTTTTTGATCATCAGACACTCGTGAATCGTTTTTTATAAACAGTGATCGAGGCAAGGAAATAGTGCTATGCTGACTGTGAAAACCTTCATTGCGTGGAAACCAGCGAACGCTGGATGAGTGCATCAAGATTGACAGCCTCAATTTTTGTCTTTTTGATATACATTGTTGTTGCTTGTCATCTTTAGATCTAACCACAATTCTGTTGGTCCTTTACAAACTAGTTATTGGCTTGGTTAACTAATAAATGTTTGTATGAGAGTAGTGGATGCATTATAAACTGAACTTCTGTTGTTCTTTTGAATCAGTGGAGCAACTATGAAGATCGAATTGCCTTTGTTGGTCTAGGATTTGCAGCCATCGTTGCAGTTTGGGCCTCCGGTCATCTAATTGAGGTAATTGTTGTTATCTTTGTATTTGATAAGACAGTGTATGTTCTTGTCAGTGAAAGGCTTCCATTGGCTCCTATAATAGCTAGTATGGATGATGTTTGTTCTTTAAGTTGGACTGGTTGATTTGCAGGCTGTTGACAAGCTTCCTCTATTCCCAAGTGTGTTTGAATTCATTGGGATATTGTTTTCATGGGTGAGTTAATCAAAACTTATCCCTGCTGTAGAGTAGAAGATGAACATGGATTTCCTTTGCATTCTAACTCTTTTCTATGTTTACAGTGGTTTATATATCGCTACCTTTTATTTAAACCAGACAGGTGAGAAGCTTTCTGATCTGATTTTATTGCTCGATAACCAATTCCCTAGTTATCTTTGTTGATATTCTGTCATAGAATGACTGTGTAAGTTTGTATACTTAGTCAATTGTTTCAGTATGCCACTGGTCGTAATGGAAATGACATATGACCTGTGACCTTTTCATTAACAACATTAAAGAGAATCGCTTGAATATTTTTCCATGGTGAAATAATTTTCTAATTTTCATTAGGTTATTAAACGAAAACCAACTGAACGCACAGATTCTCATGGCATTAGTAATCTTATTGATACCATTTTGAAGACTTAAACTTCTATATAATATTAAGATTGCTCCTTTGCAACCTCGGCGACCAAGGTGCTAGACATTGAAACGGACTCTCTATTTATTGAGGTAAGATAGTGTATTAACTCTCACAGCCACCACATTAGTGGAAGGCATTGGATTCATCCTCGTCCCATTTCCTGTAAAGAAAGCAATTTGGAGATGAAACAGCTCTAATTCCTTCCATTACGCTCTTTTACAAGTTATTATGGTAGTGGTTTGCGGTGCATAGTAAGTATAGGTGGAGAAGACTGGCACTAGAATTAGATAGGGACCCTACGTAACTCTGTTAGGATGAGTTCTCACAGAGAACCTGAAGAAAAGGAATTGGGTATCCGTTAGTGATTGCTATCACTGCGCTAGTCTCTGAAACCCTTGTTCGCAATTATCCTTATGAAATAACCATTAGAAAGTTTCCTTTTAGCTTAATCATACTGAAGTTGCTTGGTGGCTCAAATTCTTTAAACAAGTTGGCTAAGAGGCTTAGTGGTGGTTTAATTTGGATCATAACATTGATCCTTATTTGTCGTTTGTCCTCCGCCGAACTTAAAGCAGCTCTAAGAGCTACTAGCCCTGTTTGGATAGAAATATCTCAAATTCTTCATCATTTATCAGGATGTCTTTTCTAATATTTTTGATGATCTTTATTTTTATTTTTACGAGTTACATTGTTATCTTTTTTCAGGGAAGAACTGTCAAAAATTATCAAGAATGCAATATCAACTGTTCTTGGCAAGTGATGTGTCCTTTGAAGAACCAGCATCTTGGAAGGCCAGAACTGAACTTGTAACAAAGCTCGACAACTTTTGGGTACTTAAGTTCTTTGTCCGAATGTACTGATATGTGGGAAGTATGTGTGACATTGTAATCAATACAACTAGCCAAGTTATCATGTGTTGATTGACCAATTTTCGTTCTTCCCATCTTATACCTGGCATCAATAATTGTGACACACATTGCAGGAAAATTATGCTTGGATTTCTATGATATCAATCCCCTATCATATGAATTATTAAGTCTGTGAGATCCAATGATTACAAAAGGAGAAGACATCCAGTGGCGGCAGCCACCCTACATCTGATGCTCTGTAGAAATATGAATAAGCTATCTATAACTTCCACTAAAACGAGTACAAACTTTGGAAATGGGCTCAGTCGACTTGTAATAATAAGACTGAGCAAATCCATGCCTTGGAAATATTACAGAACAAACTAGTGTTGGTTGCTTGTTCATACCTCTGATTTCTCAGTATTAGGCTTGATGTCACCATTCCCTATGTTTTGCTGTCCAACACGATAATACTTGCTAGAGTAAGCAGCGATCTGAGGAGTCTCCATAGCAACTGGCACTACTGTTGTAGCAACACCATTAATGGCTGATTCCAAATGACATGGTTTCTCATGCTCTGCAGACCTGGACGAGTATTTCTCTTCTGCAATAAGTCGGAGAAGAAAATATTAGTTACAGCACTTGTATTGCAACAAGAGGAAAACATCATCATCATCCAAGAGAATCTTTTGATCATCCAGAGAAAATGGTTTTACATATGACTTTATGTTTCAATTCAATTTAGAACTAAAAACCCTCAAAATTCATAATGTTGTAGCATGAAAACTCTAAAAAAATTCCTGGACATTCAAATCAGGTAACAAATCACATCTTTCCGATAACAACAGATCAGGTCAGGTTCGGAGTCCAGGCGACACGAACCTCACCTAGATAAAAGACACTTGTTTCAGAGGCGAAGAGAAAATAGATAAAATCACAAAATGGTCCATGAATCATCCTGAGAAGAATACTGGGTAGCACATCAAATTTAATTAGAAATCTCTACTACCATTGCACATGGAAGAAGTATTTACCTTTCATTTGTCCATAGGTGACTAGCTTGAGGAGATAGTCTCTGAACTCCATTAATACACACCTCTCTTGCTCCACATAGACCTCTGTTATGCTCTGGTTGCTGAAAGATTTTGAAACTGTATCGGTAGCCTGAGACGGCATAAAAATTGTGTCTTGCTCATCACACAACAAAGCCAGTGTTCCAGGAGACGTTGGCCTTCCACCCTTCTGTCCATCCCTACAATCAGATCCAGACTCTTCCGTGTTAGCTTTCTCCACAGGAATTTCACTTGAAAACTCATCCGCTGGTGCTTTCTTCATATCCAGATCATGCCATGTCTGATCTATGTCATCATTTGATTGTATGGGAGACCTTTCAGATTGGCCTTCCTTCTCTGTTAACTTCTGAGCTTTTCTATCTGGATAGTTTGAACTCAGAGATGATAAGAATACAAATAGAATAAAAAATTAATGGTTTAAGCAGTTCATGATGCATTACAAGGAAAAGGTGGCATTCAGTAAACAAAATTAACAGCAATATTTAGAAAAAGAAAATTTTGATCAAGTCAAAATTTGTCACTACCAAAATAGCCAAGGCCAAACCTTTCTATCAGAAGTCTTAAATTCTAATATTTATGGAACTCCAAATAATTCATTCTTTACTAAAAGTCTTGCATGACATCGAAGGGAACAAAACATGCACTTGTTTATTAAAAAAATGATTTTATATCTTCTGTTTTTGCCAACATTAAGATTCTTCGAACCCTCGGTTATAAAAGATTGAGTCCTGTACTCTGTTTCACCCAAACTAATTAAGCACTGCCCCTTGTGTTAAATTTGTGAGACCCAAAAGGATAAATTCACAGAATATTTGATCATTTGAATGTTCCCATTGACAATTTGAATCACAAATTAACTCTTCACTCTTCACCCTGTTATCACCCTTGCTCCTTTTTCCTCCTCTTTTCAGCCTCTTTGTTTAGTCCCCATCTCTTCCTCCTCGCTTCCACGAATCCTGCTCTTTCTCTTCCTTTACCTATATTGCACTTCAACCACAGCAGAAGATTATCCAGCCCATTGATGAGAGGCATCCCCCTCTTGTTCAGCAATGGCTATTTCACAGTAGGTGCTTTTATGATTTTCTATTTCATTACTGAAAACACTGAGCGGAATATTAGGGATAGTTGGAAAGTTTTGTAAAGAATGAAAGAGAAACATGCTCCTCTTGATTGTTCATTTCATTCTTTTCATAATATGAGTTGCATGTCAATGTCTTGAGACGTGTAGGTAACATGATAGTTATGCAAGCTAACAAATGAGGGAGGTGTTTGTAGGTGTAGCTTGTTCCATCTGTGCTACAACATCCTCCAATTGAGTTTGGGATGCACTACTCCATTATATGCATCAGTTATTGCACACTGTTGTGTAGTATGTCATACCAGCAAATGTTTTGGCAACCTTCCCAGACACCACCGCCAAAAGCTTGCACAGGTCCCTAATGTGCTCTGGTTGGACTATGTCTGCTAGAAGAGATCTTCAGACAATAAAAAAAAGTAACATGTTAAAAGCATAGAAAGCTACAATTTTAAAAGTTCCACATTCAAAACAAATCAAATAAAAGAATAAGAATATTGGAGGATAGATCTTTACCTGTAAGTGACTTTAGTAGATACCACTGGAGCAGTATTGATAGCACTGGCCGCAGGAACAGAAGCAGAAAAGGAGGAAGGTGCTGAAGTCTTTGCCTGAAAGTATAGGATGTCTCAGTAATGTCACTGATTAACAAGCCAAATGCAAGTCAAAAAGAGTGGTAGCAAATCATGGTTTCATCTTTTCTCGTTGATTATAATTAAAAGAAAATGCCAAATTAGAAGAGCCCTTGTGACAAAGCAAGTTAACACAGACCTCGCATGGGCAATCATTTAGAGTTATCAAACTAACAATCTAATACAGCAGAATTATAAAGTGAATGAAAAATTCTTGTTAAACTGTATTAATACAGACCTTTTGAAGATACCAAGTATAAGTGCAGTTAATCTCTATAATATTGTGAATATCAGAAAATTACCTGTGGAAGTTGCGCAAGCCTTTTAATGGGTTCCTTTACTAATGCACCAAAGAGGAGCTCCTGGTTTTTCCTCTTCTTAGATGGTGAAGGAGACATAAATCCAGATGGACCAATAGCCCCATTTACAGTGGCACTGGCTGTCTGCTGCATGTAAAGAGTGCTTCCATGATCACCACGGAAGAGAGCTTTCCTCTCTTCGCTCCCTTCAAAGTTCTTACAGTCCATACATTTACAATTATCAGAGCAGAGAATGTTGGCTTGGAAGCACTCACAGTATTTCTTGAGGCACCCAGACTTCTTACAGTGGCATCCTTTGTTGTGCTTTCCCACCAAAGGAAGTTCCCCTGCCTCGTCCTAACACATACAAGCATATTGATATAAGTTTTTGGCAAATAATATTGTTAAAAAAACACCTTTAGTTTTTATTCTAACAGAAGCTAAAGTGGGTCTTATGATAGGACATGATCTTTCCCAACAAGATGACCAAAAATTTGTGTGACCACTCAAATGCCTGTTTCTCTTGGATACCGAGAAACATATCTTCCTCTAAATTTCATCAATTCTTCATTTATCAAAACCTCCTCGAGAGCATATACATTATGTTCTTTTTCTGAGAGCAGTTAGGAGAAAGAAGAGTCTCATATCTAGATAACCTACAACCTTGTAAAATAAAAGTTAATACAATAACTCATATGAAATGAGAATTAAAACAATCCTAAAATTTAAAGGAGTGTCTAATAGATCCATAAAGCTCGTGAATGGCTCAAGCCACAAGAAAGCTTTTTTAAGCACTTTAAGCTTACCCTGAACCTTTAAAAACTAAATTATGACTGAGATTCCAGACATGCATACATGGTGAAAGATGAGACATGGAAGTCACTAATCACTGATATGAAGGATTTGTACTAGTTAAACAGTCAGCAGGTGACAATTCAGCAATTATCATCAAGAACAAAATAAGAAAGCTACCACATACAAACATGGGATGATTACAATATTATCACTTTATTAGAAACCAGTGGTTCTACCCAGTCCTTCAAAGACTTTAAACTCACAAAGATCTGCTGCCACCACAGGTCAGAATTGCTACAAGGTTTCAGCACATGCTGAGCATCATGTAAGACATGATGACCAACTTAAGAAGGTGCCAGATATGCTGAATACTTGTGCACCTTGTGGAAAGAAAAACATTTAACCAAATTGTGTTCTTCTGGAAGATCAAGTACATACCCTAGTAACCCGTGATGCATGTGGGCTACTGCCAATCTTAGGCCTAAAGGCATTAGGATTGCGCTCTAGAGTAGCTTCAACAGCCTCATGCCTAGCAGCTTCATTCTCAACATTGTTACAGCAGTTTGTACAGTTGCAGCCATCGCAATAAACTCCAGATGCAAAACACTCACAATATCTAAGCATGAAATAATGAAATAACAAAAGGACAATGAGCAAGTTTGGCAAAAAAAAAAAGAAATTGCAGCTGTATGAACAAGCATTAAATTTATGAATCTTAGTGTCAGGCAATTAAGAAACAACATATATAAAAAAATTATGTTGCCGATAAGAGGGTGTTGAGATGGATGTATGGAGTTACTAGAAAAAAATAAGAAAAAAAATACTGTTATTTGTGAACCACTAGATATCGCTTCGATAGAAGATAAGATCAGATAATATCATTTAAGATGATATGGATATGTGCTTAGGAGATCTCTAACTACGATGATCAAAAGAGATGAAATGATTAATATTAATGATACGAGGAGACGTAAAGAAAGACCTAAAAAGACTTTAGTGGAAACTATAAATAAAAGTTTAAGTACTCTAAACGTAACTAAATATATGACTTTTTACATATCTCAATGGCGACAAAAGATACATGTAGCTAACCCCAAATAGTTGAGACTCATGGATTTTTTTTTTGTTGTTGTATTAAATTCGTGAAGCCAAGTTCAATGTAAATAAAGACAGCATCAGTATGAAACTTTCTACATAAAATTGGCTGCACATACCTGCACTGGAACTTTCATATGAGCAGTAAAGTGCTCCAGAAGATTAATAGAAACAAGTTGAGATTCAAATTTAACATGAAATTTTCTTCCTACTAATATTTTCACATTCCTTCCCCAAAGACTTGAGATGACCAGTAAAATTGAAGCTTTAGCATAGTCAAGCAACCTAATATTTTGATTGCATATTTGAGATACAATTAACTGCAAGTCTCTAGGCATAACACTTTCCATATTCAACATGCACGACAAAATTTATTTCAGAAAAACAAGAAATAACCAACATTTCTTCTACTGGTATAAAGCCAAGGAAATAACCAACCTTTCTTCTACTAATATACAGCCCTGTCTAGCAGTTATCACCTAAAGTTTGTCTAGATTTCTCATTCATCATTGACTCATTATGTGGGCTATTAGTGATTGGATTGCTCTTAATTTAAAAATCATAATAAGGATAATGAATTTAATGGATATGTTCAATTAAACATTACCACATTTCTTCCAGAAAATTATTCATAAATCACCATAGCTTGATCTTGAAAACAAGTTATTCCCATGCCAAAGTTAAATTTCCAAAAGTACCAAAACAAAGAATTTTATACTTGACCAACCATACAAACTCAAACTCATTGCATTAGTCTTATCAGAGTTGTTAAACAACCACATTGTACACTTCATTTATCAGAAATCTGTTTTGCATTAATGAACTTGAACAAGTTTCGATGTGAATTTCTCAATAGTAGTTATACAAGAAAGACACTGTACTTGATTCACCAAGGCTCATATGAGTGGACTTTAATGTTCTGCAACTGCAACTAGCTAAATTAGGGGTGGGGGTGAGACAAGGAATATGTGTTAAACAGGCTGGTAGTTTTGATGAACTATATACACGATCACCATACATAGACTGCTATTGGGGTCTGATCAACCAGTCCATCCAAAAACCATTATTAACCCAGTTGATGATTATGCTCAGAAAAGTCTCATGAATTTGTGTAACAAAATTTGTTTTGTTAATTCCTACTGCAGTTAAAGAAACATGTACAGAACTCCAAGGTGATTTTCAGTGGTCCTCACTTTCATACAGGTTGCTGTTTAGGTATGTCAAAAAAGAAAAGGAAAATGAAGTTATTATCATGGACCATGGTATTTCATAGCTCGCTTAAGTTGACAATTTACTAGAAAATGGACAAACTTTAAGCTAGGTGCATAAGTCTCTGTCCCAACTTGAGCAAGCACTTGAAACTTTGGTGTAGACACAGCCTGAGGTTCTTTATCTCATCTCTAGAAATATCTTTCTTTGGGTAGCAAGTTCAAGCAAATAGTAACTGGTATAAGAAAATGGTTGCAGAACTAAGATGCCTTATTAAACAACTATTTTATGGATTGTCCTGCAGGGCAAGGATTAAAGGAACATAATGGAGAAAAAATTGGTAGCTCCTGATAAAATTACCAGATTCCATAACTTTTGGAGTCCTATCCTGCCAAAAAGCACTGTTTTATGGCATTTGATATCGATCATCTGTGTATGCCTAGGACTCTAGATGATCTTGAAGAACTAATTATGCTCAACGAGTATTAGAACACATGAATACCAGATATTTAATGTGAATAAATCATACAATTGTTAACAGCATAGTGCACAAATGCCATTAACAAGTAAGTTGTCGAAGCATTTGTAACAAAAGGTAATTCAACCTACAGCTTCAAGCATTTTGAGTGTTTGCAGTTGCAATTCTTCTTTCTTGCTGGCGTACCATCTTTTGCATCAGACAACAATCGTGGCCGTGACTTGGGAGACTCTGGCTTGCTGAAGAGGTTAACTATAAGACTGTGTGCTGATTCTTTGCAATCAATAAAAATAATACATACAGACATCAGGAAAATGTAAAAACTTCTGTAAGCAATCATTAAAATGATAATAGGTAAGTATACCAAGAAATTCATCACTGAAAAACTGGATACAATTAAGTAACTAATATATTCTGGGCATGTTCAGTACCAAAATATATCAGAAATACTTCGAAGCTTGACAAGATATTATTACGAAGAAATGGGTTGAAGAAGTCACAACCTACATGTAAACCACTAACAATTGACTTGACAATAAGCAGAAGACTGAGGAGAGAGAGAACTTATTCAACTCAAGCAATTTAAACACTAACCATATGAAGCAAAAGTACAGGTTCCCTGTTTTTGTTAAAGGGGTTTTGGGACTGAGCCCTTGTTAAGGTGATGCACAAGTAATTGACCCACGTTTCTATGGGGCGTTTTGTCCCCTCCATTATTCCCAAAGGAAAGTAGGAGTCTTATTACAAAACTGTTGTCTACTACGGAAAGCAATCCACTATAATGGTAACCATATGAAGCTAGACTATAACTGTTAAAGACTCCTGATTCTGAATTTTATATATATATATATATATATATATATATATATATATAAACTAGATCTTATTATTAATAATCCATCATCTTTTACCATGTCAAGATTTAAACTCGTAATCTAAAGTTGAGGAACCCTAAAGAACAAATTAAGGGGGAAAAAAGGAAAGGAAAGAACTTTCCGAGACCATGTCTTCAAGTTATATATACAATTAAAAAAGGAGAGTCTTGAAATAAGAGCACAGAAGGAACCAATTCACACAAAGAGGGGAAACTCTCATGCTTATAAACCTAGACACTAGGAACATGCTCAAATGATTGATGCATCGAAACCTAACCTAAAATTTGAAAAGAGTTGCCTGATTCCAAAAGACTCAAAATTCGAAAATTATATAAAACCCATTACTCACCCAGCGGTAATTGAGGGAATTGAGGGGCGCGACAGCGACAGAGAAGCTGGAGTGGCCCGCGGCGGCGGCTGCAGCTGCTGCGGCGAATCAAGGGCTATTGATAATGCGTTGGAAGGGGATACACCACCATACGCCACGGCCGTGAAATCCAGATGGCGAACAAGCTTTCTTGGAGGGAAATCGGACGACGCCGATGAAACAGGTTGAACACTTTGCTCCATGGAAGCCCGTAAACGCTGATCCATGGATCAATTCAAAAAAGACGGCCAAAGACTTTCCTCGGAATTCTACTCCTTTTATAACAAGTAATAAATTCTATGGATTCCGAACAACTGGGGATCCCTTAGATCGAGCTATCGAAAGCTTGGAGATCGTCGGGGGAGCTGGGAACAAAATAAAGGCCCGCGGCAAGAAGACTGCCAAAAATTCCTACCGAATTATACTCATTTTGGACGAAGCCAAATCTCCATAGATTCCAAACAACCGGAGACCCCTTCGATCGAGCGTTAAGAGAGCTCGGAGGTCGCCGGTGAAGCTGGAAATAGAATAAAGGCCGAGGTAGTTGGGGGGATCTTCAGTGTCAGAGATGGAATCAAGCAGGCGGAGATCCCCCACGAAGACCGGCTGCGGGCGGTGGCGGAGGGGAAGAAGGGTGGGATTCTTGTTGGGGTGCGGCGAAATCTTTCGAGCACGCGACGGGCAACGGAGGACGAAGCGAACGAAACTGGGTGTCTATCTCACTCCCCCTCTCTGCTTTTGAAATCGAATTCTAATATTTGACGGACGGATTTGGGTCTTAGGAGAGATCGGACGGATGAGTCCTCTTAGAGAGATCAAGTGGTCCAAATTCATAGGGTTCGAGATGTCACCCTCTTTACCGTCGGATTCTATAAGGGAAAGGGCTTCTTTTCCTATTGGAAATAATTATTTTGTTTATCGAATAATTGATATGCCTTTCACTCACGCATGTCGATCAACCAATTCTGACTTACAGCCTTGTATCGATTAAATGATTATTTAGATAAGACATTTTTTTTATAATTATAATTAAAATATAATTGTGATCGTCGATTTTTACATGAGACAGATATTAATTTTGGGGCAAACCGTCCGCATAATATCGAATTGACACCAACCCGAACGTCGCAAAAATTACCATTCTCTCACATCGCAGGACCGTCGCCGGTGGAGCCCACGGATTCGGCCAACCGCGGGCCAGGCTCCAATTTGGCGTCGGCCAGCAAGATGAGATTCCACATGGCCGCCAGAATAAGACGCGAGATGACCACATTGTCTTCTATCTAATGCGAGCGATGTCTTCTTATCTTCATCCGTTGGTGTCTCTGGGTCACCATGTAAACCAAAAGTGGGCCCCGCTGCTGTCTGCCAATACAACAGATGCGTGTCAAGATGCAGATATGTGGGCTTAGAATATCTAACTTAACTTTTGTGAAATTTAATTGTGATATCATTTAAAAGAATCCAATCTAGCTTATAAGTCATATCAATAAATCATTTAAAAAAATATATAATCTCTCATTAAATTGATCATTATAATAATAACGATCTTCTCAAATATATATATATATATATATATATATATATATATATATATATAATTAATTACTAATTTGATCATCTGAGATATTTGTTTAGACAAATCCCGAACCAGTTTAATGAGAGATACTTTATCATCTGGGAAATGCATCACATATGATCAGGAGGATGTGTATAGAAACCATATTTGTCTAAGAAGTGTGAAGATCAGCATGCAGAGAAGTAGCTAGAAATTGTTTGGTTCAACTTCACATACATCACAGGATGATTGAAGGACATCTGCAATTCTTGTAATACAACAACACATTCAATTTCACATACATCAATATCAGATACTACTAATAGAGACTAAAATTGCACTATTTAGTGTACATTAATTACTTCTTACAGAAACCAGAAAGGAACTGATTCCTTCGAAAACGATGGGAAGGAAACACAGGGAATGAGACCCGGTAGTCACAAGTTCCTGCTAACTTGCACGCTACTACAGCTATCAGCGTACCAAGATGAGTTTCTTCTCTGTTCTAGGCATCACAAGTGCCTCCGCACATGAAGTTCCTGCAAAAATCATCCGAGTGTTTCAGCACAAGGTTGGCAAGAGAAAATTACAATATGAAGTGTGACATCTCTCTCTAAGTGATCGAGAGTGCGGTCAGTAAGATTGAATTTCGCTTTGCGTTCTAACGAGCTAACATGATAAATGCTACTACTACCATCGGCATACCACGATGAGTTCATCTGTTTTAGGCATCGCAAGTGCCTCTACACATGAAGTTCCTGTGAAAAATAGTTTGCAATTGAAGGTGTTTCAGCACAAGGAAGGCAAGAGAAAACTACAATATGAAGTGTAGCATCTCAGTCTGAGTGATGAAGAGTGTGGCCAGTCAGATTGAAAGTTGTTTTGCGTTCTAACGAGCTAATTGAATATATGAATTTAAATCAACATCACAAAGTCAAAGCAAACAAGCCTATATCCGAAGTTGAGTACAAAAACAAAATAAGCATGCAGACACTAATTTGCATCATAACACGACAATTAATATGTTATGTAGTCAGCTACTTATGCCGACAAGTTGTTTTGCGTTCTAACTACAATTAATATGTTATGTAGTCAGCTACTTATGCAGTCAGATTGAAAGTTGTTTTGCGTTCTAACGAGCTAATGTAACATATGAATTTAAATCAACATCACAAAGTCAAAGCAAACAAGCCTATATCCGAAGTTGAGTACAAAAACAAAATAAGCATGCAGACACTAATTTGCATCATAACACGACAATTAATATGTTATGTAGTCAGCTACTTATGCCGACAAGTTGTTTTGCGTTCTAACTACAATTAATATGTTATGTAGTCAGCTACTTACGCCATTAGACAACCAGAGCTTCTTTTACTTTTCTTCTTGGGTACCTCCTTCCTTCGTGGAGGTTGAAGAACTACCTTGATTGCAGTATCAAAGACAGCCTTGACGTTCTAGCCATTCCAAGGCAAAGAATACAACACACACAATTATTAGTAATTCACCATTGTTTATGAAGCACTGAATCATTTGATAGGTAATTCTAAGTCGGTCTAATTGTTTCTGTATGCACACCTGTTGTGTCTTGGAGCTACACTCGATGTATGCTGCAGCACCAATTTGTTTCCTGAGCTCTTCTCCCTAGAAAGGAATAGATTGTACTTCTGAATTTTCGAAACCAGCTACGAAATTTCAGTGCAAGAGAAATGATCCAAAAATTATTGGTGCAGAAGCTACTTACTTGAGCTGGAGTTATTGTAGTTGCACCTGGATGATCAGCAAGATATCCTTTGTCTTCGCGAAGATCTGTAATTTGTCAGTAACAAGGTGAGATTATGTACATTAATCGATCTACTCATTATGGAACTCAAGATGACCACACACCTAGTTTTGTTCCAACCAGAACAATAGGAACATTTGGTGCAAAGCGTCGAAGCTCAGGCATCCACTGAAGTAGAACATGGAAAGAACAGGGTGAGAGGAGGAATCAAATGTCGGAAACCAATGAATTCATCAGGATAATTCAATCCAGAGATCAGTAATTAAAATACGCTTATAGTTGTGCTGTTGTTTAGTGAAAACATAATGAGAACAGATACATAGTACTACTGCTTCCTAATATCTTGTAAACTTACAAGAAGGGCAACAACAATCTGACCAGATTTATGCTTAGATCTGAAATTATCTCAACATAATTTGGATAGAAACAAGTAAAAGTTATTTCCAGTTCCAAATTTCTAAGAGCAATCAATGTCTGAAACATTAATGTAGATGAAACAACAAAATTGGCCCTCGATTACCACCTTCTTGAGAACGTTCTCGTAGCTTGCCCTGCTGATTAGCGAGAAAGCCAGAACAAATATATCTGCCCCTCTATAGCTCAGCGGCCTCAACCTGCTGTAGTCTTCTTGTCCTACAATGGGAGATCAAACGATGTTAAATCAGCAAATCTAGATGCAGAGCTAAGTAAGGGGAAAGATGTCGAAGAGATACATATACATACCTGCAGTATCCCACAATCCTAAGTTGACGATGCTGCCATCAACAGAGACATTAGCGCTGAAGTTATCGAACACAGTCGGGATGTAGTCCTGCTCAAAACCAGAATACACCGAGTTGGGTTTTATGACCAACGCCAGATTACAAAATGTATGCAAAAGAAAGTGCAAATTATCAGAATGCTTTTGCAGAAACCAAAGATGGACCAGAATTGAGAGGAATGCAGAGAGACCAGACACAGAATTGTGCCAAGCTTAAGAGGAACGGGAAAGGGGCATCAGCACATACAGTGGGGAACTTGTTGCTGGTGTAACATATGAGCATGCAGGTCTTCCCCACAGCCCCGTCTCCAACAGTCACACACTTGATGAACTTGGTGGCGCTCATCCTCGCTCCTCTGGTCTCGAGCTACCTGGCGGTGGAGAGCAAGGAAGACGAACCGCGCTATAAACAAACCAAAAGGGCGAGGACGGAGTTGCTTCGATTTGAAGTCAGAAGGAGCAGCTTTGGGCGAGAAGAGAAGAAGCGCGCTAATCACGATCTTGGGTTCTCCTTGGTGGACGGCAGGACAAGGAGAGTGGAGTTTTAGGTAAGAGCAGAAGATGAAGTATAGCTCTCGGAGTTCATATAGGTTTAACTTAAACATGCAAAAAGGAGAACTGACACGTAAATCCGGCGAATCCAACGCTCGAATCCTCCATGGCCTAAAAAGAATCACTTGCGACCAAGAAAACGGAGCTTGACATGAAAAAGAAAGAGAAAGAAGACCCGTTGGCTACCAGCTCGACGTGTAGAGACGATAGTGGCTCCGCAGGGGGGCCCCGCGGGAGTCGGCTGTCACGCGCTGGAAAAGGAGAGAGCAAAAGTGGCTCGTGGTTTGAAGCTTGGACTCGGTCGCTTGTTTTGCGGGTCGGAGCATTCAATTTTCAAACCTGGAATCGGGTGGTTGACCCTTTGATTTTGAATTGGGGGAGGAAGAGGGGATCGGATCCGACCGTTTGGGCCGAGGGATCCGTTGCGGTCGTTGCTGCTGCCGTGTCTCCTGTCGCTGACAGAGAATACCACCACCTGCTGCCTTAAGATACGGTGTTATCCCATCGGAAGTCGTGTCCGCAAAGTTCGCTGTGGTGCATCAGCCAAATCCATTGTGGCACAGCCCCAGAATGCCCCTCGGTGGCCGTCTCAATCAGTAAACATGTCGCTGTTAGCTTATCATTGTTGCAGTAATATAATTAATATATGGTCTAATCATATATATATATAGGGTTTGATTTCTTTTATGTACCATGAAATTTTATTTGATTTTTTGGTTTATTATTTGATTATTGATCTCTGATATATGTCTTTTATTTGGAGCTTTTCTGTGATCCTATGTTGAAACTATGACACAAAAGCTCAATCGAAGATGTTCTTAAATCGAGATTCGCATTGGATCCTCGTGCTGTACTTTTGAGTTATTACAAAGACAGTCATGTATATATATATATATAAGATTTATTTACTGACATGGCTTTCAAATAGCAAGAGTAAGCTGAAGCATAAGAACTAACGATCTTTATTTTGGTGCCTCGAAGTGAAAGTGAACGAAGTTCTGAGACATCATCACTACGAAGAGCAAAGACCAACACGATTGGTCTCGCATCCCTGATTCAGGGA